AAAAGCTAAAATATTGAAAAACATAAAAAAAATTCCAAAACAATAAGAGCATAAGATGGCATATGAATTAGGGTTCCTAAAACATGTATTAATAGTACTCAAGACATTTATGGATGTCACTTAGGGTTTCTCCAAATGAGGGAATCATTTTGGGCTTCAGAAATGGGCCTTCTAACTCGGAGATGGCTGGCTGCGGTCGGAAGGGATGTGGCCGCGAGGAATGGATGCTTGTCTGCGGTCGGGTAGCCTCTGACCGTGGTGAAATGGCTGTTAGCTGCGGGTGGAAATGCTTGTCGATTGGTTTACAGGACATCTTGCTCTTCGCGTAACTTTTGATTGAACTGTTGGATTGCCAAGCTGTAAAGTGTGCTGGAAAGCTGGTAGTTCCATCTTTGAGATCTCTAAATTTGAGCTGGATCAGACGGTGAGAAGGCCTTCAATAGGGGGTGAACTTCTGACGGTTTAACTCTGAGCTGAAAATCTGGTCTTCTATCCATTTTGTTAAGTTTTTTCCTAAGTTTCCTGAAAATAGTCTTGGAACTACAAATACTAGAAAAACATAAGAAAAGTACTTGAAAACAATAAAAAAACATAGAAAAAATGGGAAACGATCCACAAAAGTGGTCAAAATACAGTGTTATCAGAGAGATAATGCAAATCGCTTTAAGGAGTTGTCTACTATGGCTTGTGATGTCTTGAGTATCTCTATTATAACCATTGCTTCAGAATCGTCATTCAGCATAGGAAGTCGTATGTTAAACAAATATAGGAGTTCCCTTCTTCCTTCAAATGTGCAAGCTTTAATTTGCGCAAGCTAGGAATTGGTTACACGGATTTGAAGAGATTGGTAAGTTTTTTTGCTTATGTTCTTTTTGTCATTTTTGAATTCAATTTATATCAAATTTCAGAAGAATAGTAAGTTTTTTGTTATTTTGTTGTGCTTAGGTGATCAGTTTGAGTTCATGGAGGAAGACAAAGAAGGAGAAGAAGACAAGGAAGGAGATGAAGAAGTTTAAGACAATTGTGTCTTTGGATTTGATATTATTAAACTTTAATTGAAAACTTTTTGTTTATGTTTATTCTCTACAATTAGTTCTCTAGACTTTTGGATTTTGTATTTATGTTTGTTCTAATCAGACTTTGTTCTCTAGACTTTTGGATTTGGTATTATGAAACTTTGAAAGCTTTGTTCTCTAAACTTTTGGACTTAATTATTTATGTTTATTATGATTATTTCATCTGTTCTCATCTTACAATGATCTAGAGCTTTGATTATGAATCATATTTCATATTAATATAAAACAAAAGATTGTCTATAGAACTAAGAAAAAAACAAAAACAAAAAATCTGTTATACTCTGTGACCAGTGGATATCCATGGACAGCCCATTTAAACATGATCCTTAATGGGCATGGTCATTGTTTGTCCATAATTTAAATGGTCAGTATTGGACGGGTCAAAATGGACATGGACAGCCCATTATTGGTAATGGGTAGCATTGTTAATGGAATACCCATTATTGACTGGTAAGATATATACCTTCAAACTCATCAAACCGAGGGAGATTCTCATTACACAAGGTTGATGGTCTACAAATGATGTCTTTGTAAGTTTTACGATATATATCATCACTTCACAACTATCATTTTATTGTGTTTGTTTTTTTTTTCTTTTGTGGTTTTTTTACTTATTTTAATTATCAAGATACATTTAATATGTGTTACTCAATTCCAACAAAATCGTCTCATAATTGACTGTATAAATTCGACTGGATGCCGTTAACTTAATGCAGAAACTACAAGAATTAGGAAAAGTCGATGAGTTTGGAAAACTGATTAGTCCATCAACAAGTCAGTTCAATTAATTGCATTATAGTCAAGAATTAGATTATACCTCATTTTTTTCTTTTAAACCTCATAAGACCGAGGAACAACGAATAATAATAAAAAGTATGTAAATGGTTAGCCCATTATTGGTAATGGGTAGCATTACTAATGAAATACCCATTATTGACTGGTAAGATATATACCTTCAAACTCATCAAACCAAGGGAAATTCTCATTACACAAGGTTGATGGTGTACAAATGATGTCTTTGTAAGTTTTACGATATATTTCATCACTTCACAACTATCATCTTATTGTGTTTGTTTTTCTTTTTTCTTTTATGGTTTCTTTTACTCATTTTAATCATCAAGATACATTTAATATGTGTTATTCAATTCCAACAAAATTGTCTCATAATTGACTATATAAATTCGACTGGATGCCGTTAACTTAATGCAGAAACTACAAGAATTATGAAAAGTCGATGAGTTTGGAAAACTGATTAGTCCATCAACAAGTCAGTTCAATTAATTGCATTATAGTCAAGAATTAGATTATACCTCCTTTTTTTCTTTTAAACTTCATAAGGCCTAGGAACAACAAATAATAATAAAAAGTATGTAATATTAACTATCTTTCTTTTTGTTTTGGTTACTCTCAAGATCTATATATTGAGGAGTATGACTACGAAGGAATTAGCTGGAGCAATGAACTTTTGTGTTTGATTCCTAAATTTTTTTAGAAGTCTTGAAACTTTGAGTTTGCTGGGTATAAGGGAAGACCGAGAGAGAGAGAGAGAGAGAGAGAGAGAGAGAGAGAGAGAGAGAGAGAGAGAGAGAGAGAGAGAGAGAGAGAGAGAGAGAGAGAGAGAGAGAGAGAGAGAGATCTTGAGTTTTATCTTCAAAAATACTCGTTGCTTGAATTCTCCATCAATCTTGAGCTGGCCATGTTATGTTCCACGAGAGATTAGTTTTTGTTTTCCAAGAATTATAAATTTAACTAGATGTAGAATTTTCTTCATCAGTTGTACATGTTTCCTTTGAGTAGTTGATGTGAGCTTCAATTACCACACTATCTTCCACCAGATACCCACTAAGTGGATCATGGAATTGGCTGAGCTTCATAAACACTCCTAAGTCCCAAAAATTTGGGAGTGCACACAAGGTATGATACCTTATGCTTGGGAAAGATATGCGTTTAAGCTTCTAGTCACATCTGTAGAAAGCTTTATACTTCTATTTTGGTGAATGGTAAGTATGAAGTAAATGGATTTTTAATGGCTTTGCAATTGTGAATTTTTGCATCTATGCCATTTGAGTGGTTTGATAGCCCTTCCAATGAGTTCATATACATGAGGTATTCTTATAGAGATGCATCCTCCTTTGATAAGATTCACCATATTTAATCATCAGCAAATCTCAAAGTTATATGCGTCTTTAGAAGTTTCGATAATAATGTGGAAGACTCAGTTTCCCTGCTCGATGAGAAAGATGATGATCTTGAGTCAATTTTAAATTTGGTGAACAGAGGTACTAACCAAGAATAATTGTGACAATGGATTCATTGACTCATAAAAAGCAGAAGAGGTTATTTCTCATCAAGATATGAGATTTCGTGTAGTTAATGTCACTGATAACCAACTTGAGTTTGAGAATACATACAAACTATAGAAAACAATGAACAAAAAAAATAGGTGACGGGTTAAACAACATCACATCAAAAGAAAGGATAATCAGATCAAGACAATGGATCATCAAATCAAGACATTGAATTATCTCATCATTATCTGGCATATGAAATCTTCGCCGAAGCATCATCTTTGAAAAGGATTGATGAGTTGTTATGTCTCGAGTATAGTTTGCTTAATAAGGGAAACAAATCTAAGAATTAATTAAAAAAAATCAAGAATTTAAGGTGTAGGATAAAGAGGAACTTGGAGAGAGAGAACTATTGGGTAAAGATAAGAAACTGAGTTGGGTATTTTCAAAATTGGGGATTTAGAGAATTGGGGATTTTCGAGAATTGAGATTTTAGGAGAAAATGTATGTGAGAACTCGTTTAACCTGAAATGATTCGTTTTTCTATCTTCCTTGTATGTGAAGAAAGGTTTTCAACTTATATAATGTAAGAGGAAACATTGGGTGTTGAATAGAAAGATCTAGTGAACAATGAGAGACTTAGTGATTTCATCTATATGTTGTAAACAATCAAAGGAAACAATCAGTTTTGAGATGATTTTAATCAGGAATGAAATAATTGATGAAATGTGGTGTTGTGTTCTGTTATTTTTTTCAGTTGGTGCTGAAACAGAGGATGCTCAGATTTGGCCGGAAGGGAGAAGTTAGCTTCAGTGCCATCTGGTGGGGGTGCCGTTGCGATGGCTTCTGCTCCATCCGCTGGAGGTAAGGAGACGCTACTGCAGCTGAGGCTAAGAAGAAAGAAAAGAAAGATAAGTTTTGACTTGAGAAGTTCTTGTAATGATATTGCTGACTTGTCATTTGTTTGAATCTGCAGGACATGGGTTTTAGTCTATTTGAGTAAGGAGGTATACTTGGCTTTTGTCAGGTCGTCCTTTTTTCATATTGTTGGGAATCTGTATGTTGTTGTTGTTTAGTTTTTTATTTGATCATCTTTTTAGATTTTTGCTGATTTTATGAAGAGATTTTGACTCGAATCGTCATTGGCACTTGTTTTTTTAACAATTGTGTTTCTATTTGCCAAAAAAAAAAGTGTTTCTATTTCAGTTACTTGTGTCACAATGTAGTCTTTTCAGATTCATTTTCTGGACCAACTTGGCAAATCCTCAACAAAGCGAAAAACTAATAGCCCACTTACCTTAGAGAATGTTGAGGATATGCATCACTAGGACTTGATCGAGTACAAGATCCGTCAACACTGGTGAGTAACTCGTGTAAATGTTAGGAGCTCGTTTCAAAGAAATCAAATTAGATACATGTTTGTGATACACATGTCTTCTAGTTTTGTTCTTCAGTTATGTTATGAAACTTGGTTGAATGAAAAACAAGAAACTTGATTGAATAATATGCTTGAATCAAATCAACACCAAAACTACGGAAATTAAAAATAATATAAAATTGAAAAAAAAAACTTAACCTAAACAAGAAAGGGAAAGGTCCAATTAACTAATCTAGAAAACCAAACAAAAACGAATGCTTAGTGATGGGGATGGGGCCTAAAGCTCTGTAACCACTTGATGAGGCGATCCAAAGGTGACAACTTCCTCTTTTCCCGAATAGCTCTGTGTAGTGGTCGCACCACCACTCGAAGCTTAAGCCCATCCTCACAATGACCAGTCTTTGAGGTAATGAAATAGTGGATTCCTGGTTTTGTGAGCCTAATCAGATCTTGTCCCGAACTGTGCACGGCAAGAGGAGAACTCGGGTCGCAAGATTTGAACTCAAGATCACTGTTTACTTCCAAGATGTCGTTGACTTCGTCGTCGTAATAGAAAAGAAGACTGTCTCCCACATGAAACTGTTTCTCCTCACTCCACTTGTAATACAAGTCATTCTCTTTAGGAACACTCCATTCGTTAGAGTCACCGACTTTGTATGTGTTTCCAAAAGGAAAGATCTTGCGCGGACGTGACGGGTCATAACGGACGACAAGAACTTCGAGTTTCTGCCCGGCTACGCATTGAGCATGATTCGAGCTGATGAAGTAGTGATAACCTGGTTCCTTAAGAGTTACGGTATCGTTTCCTGTGTTGTAAACGGCTTTAGGAGAAGAAGAGTCACATGAATCGTATGCCAAAGCACTAGAGACTTGAGTGACGTCGTTGACATTGCGATCGTATTCGAAGAGCAGAGAATCTCCCACGTTGAATTCGTTACGCTGAGCCCAATCATAATATGTGTCAGCCTTCGCGGTCCATCCCTCGGAGTCTCCGACTTTGTAGATTTTCGCCGAGCAATGATGTCCCATTAGAACCGTGAAGCTCATCATCATGACGAACACGAAGCGTAATGTTCTTAATGTTGTTGTTGTCGCCATTATCGATCGAAGACAAACAAGAAAGATCACAAAAGATAACCGGAGACGAAAACTATAGGAAGAGCTCGATGAATCAGAGAGCGTTGATGAGTATGTTATGAGGTAAAAGAAACTAACCTAACTTTCGTTATATAATAAGGTTTTACTTGCAGAACCTAATCCTTGCCGATTTAGGATTTTACTTAATCATAATCCTTTCTGTATTAGGTGATTTGCTCTTTTTGGCTGTCCAATAATAATATTATATTTTAGTAATTTTAATTTAAATTCAACTGCATAGAAATTCAGGTGTTTAAAAAAATAAATATAGATATAATCTAATGCAGTCAAAAAAAGAAAAGTGTGTAATAAACTATATCTGTTTGACTATTTCAAATTTTATTTTGGTTTATCCTTAAAATAAATCAAAACTGATTTTTTTTTCTTTTTAGATGTAAAGTCTTAAAATAATGTTCTGGAATTTGTTTCATCTATCTTCTCTTACTCCATGCATTCTCCAAAATTTCATCAACGTCATGTCAATGAAAAGAGTTTTATTGTTCTCATCACCTTGGAATGGCGCTTCTCCTTCTTAGTCTCCATATTATTTTTAAAGAATTTGTGCTAGATAACCTTGTTACTATTCACATTTTGCTAAATGGGAATGTGCACTGTTACTTTTTTTTTAAATACATTAATACCCCTATATTATCTTTCCGCCTAGACCCCTATATACGATCTCCTCCCCTGCATCTCTCATCCTTTATAGATCAGTAAGTATCTAAATTTCATAACTTTTTACTTCTATTATACAGTTTTCACATCTAATTTCATCAATTACGTGTTAACATTTCGGTTGATGTTGAATCTGAATCTCTCCAAAAGGATCTTGCTCTAGATCCATCTAGATTCATCACAAATCATGACAATGTTTCAGAGGATAACTCAATACAAATCCGCGAGATGTAGAACAAGAATCTTGAATCAGCGATGGCACTGATTCGAGAAGTCGTCGACGATTTCCCTTTCGTCGCCATGGATACTGATTCTAGGCAGATGTTTTCTTGTAATATATAAGTTGTTAACATGTCAAATTTATTTGTATCACGTTAAACAAATTAATATCATACTTTTAGAATAATCTAGATAACTGTCAATGTCTTTGCTCTAAAATGTAGATAGCTGCCAATGTCTTTGATCTAACTAAGTTTCAATGTTTTGAAAATATATAATATGTTAGCGAATACAAATATTATGTTAGAGATGATAAATAAATTGTTAGCGGATAAAAATAGTATATTAGAAATGATAAATAAATTATTAGCGAATTTAAATTTAGTGTTAGCTAGATAACATATCTTTTACTGCTGTAAGCTAGTATTAGCAAGATAACATAACATTTATCATGCTAATAAAGTATGTAGTATAATAATAAGTTATGTAGTTGTATAACTTATATGTTAACGAAAGAAAGATGATGAAAGAAAAACTTCATACGGGGAAGAAAGACCCGTAACAAAAGAAGGAGAGGTTAAAGAGTAATAACACTTTCAAAGTATCAGACAAATATCATATCAATTTACGGTTTTTCCCATTTACTTAATTTTGATCAGATTATAGAATTTTTAGCAAATTAACTCTTTTTTTATCCAAAATAAGTGGAAATAAGTGGAGAGGCCCAAGTCTCTTATATACTAGTGTTAGCCCCTTTAAACTTCCAATGTGGGATTTTAACATGCCTCCTCGAGATGATGGCTCTTATCAGCCTATCTTGAACCGAATCCCACTTTAGGACCGGTAATAAACCCTTCTTGGGCCACCCTTTTTTTATCAACAAACGAGGCTCTAATATCATGTTAAATTTCCTCGGAGTCACCGACTTTGTATGTCTTTCCAAAAGGAAAGATCTTGCGCGGACGTGACGGGTCATAACGGACCACAAGAACTTCGAGTTTCTGTCCGGCTACGCATTGAGCATGATTCGAGCTGATGAAGTATTGATAACCTGGTTCCTTGAGAGTCACGGTATCGTTTCCTGTGTTGTAAACGGCTTTAGGAGAAGAAGAGTCGCATGAATCGTATGCCAAAGCACTAGAGACTTGAGTGACGTCGTTGACGTTGCGATCGTATTCGAAAAGCAGAGAATCTCCCACGTCGAATTCGTTACGCTGAGCCCAATCATAATATGTGTCGGCCTTGGCGGTCCATCCCTCGGAGTCTCCGACTTTGTAGATTTTCGCCGAGCAATGACGTCCCATTAGAATCGTGAAGCTCATCATCACGAACACGAAGCAGAGAGTTGTTCTTGTTGTTGTCGCCATTGTAGATCGAAGACAAACAAGAAAGATCACAAAAGATAACCGGAGAAGAAAACTATAGGAAGAATCAGAGAGCGGTGATGAGTATGTTATGAGGTAAAAGAAACTAACCTAACTTTCTTTATATAAGATTTTACTTGCGGAACCTAATCCTTGCCGATTTAGGATTTTACTTAATCCTAATCCTTATGGTATTAGGAGATTATGCTCATTTTTGGCTGTCCAATAATAATATTATATTTTTGCAATTTAATTTTAAATTCAGCTGCATAGGAATTCAGGTGTTTTAAAAGATAAATAGATATATTCTAGGCAGTCAAAAAAGGAAAATTGTGTAATATACCATATCTGTTTAGTTATTTCAAATTTTATTCTAGTTTATCTTTCAAATAAATCAATTTTTCTTTTTTGGATGTAAAGTCTTAAAATAATGTTCTGGAAATTGTTACATTTCTCTTCTCTTACTCCATGCATGCATTGTCCAAAATTTCATCAACATCATGTCAATGAAAAGAGTTTTATTGTTCTCATCACCTTGGAATGGCGCTTCTCATTCTTAGTCTCCATATTATTTTTATCCAAATATCGCCATCATTGGCTGGAGAATAAACAATACCATTTATCTGGAAAGTGGCATGTGTTCTAATTGCCATGATCTAGAAAGCTGCATTAGAACAAATGAATCAAATTCCAAACAAAGAAAAACAAAGGAGTATTGTACCAAAAAAAAAACAAACATACTTTCTTGTAGTCTCAATCATTTTCTTATTTACACGAGAGTTAGTTCGGTTAACGAGATATGCGCTTGATGTGATCTACAAGCCTGCAAGAGAGACCACAGAGGCTGCTGAGGTGTTTCAGTTTGTGCAACACACAAAACCCGCAACCTCGACATTGTTGTTAGATCAGCCAATACTGACAACAGCTTCTATCAAAATTATTCGTACAGAGGCTTGTAGTATTCAACAGGCAGGTCAATGGGTTAATCTTGAGACTGCACAAACTGCATCTCATCTCATGTGTGGCACCGTTGAAAGAACAAGGCCTGCAGGCAGTTTCTGATAGAGATTGAGAATTGGTAACTCTTTATTGATAATAGAAATGTGAATTACAAGAAGCTGATCAAGATCTCATGTCGATCTGATCGATGATCTCATGGCGATCATCACAAGCTCGTGTCGCTTGTTTACACATTCATCATATATCGCATATTAAGAAAGTAAACAAGGGAAGAATCTATTTATACGACTTCCTTCTCTCTCTCAGTCTTTGCTTTACTTTTTTTTCATTTATCCTCTTGAACAGCCACCTCATCAGTGACTTTCTCTTGCTCTGTTTCTGCTATCAGCTTCTTCGTCCTTTTACAGAAATAACTCTGATGATACTTATCAATACTTCCCCTGTAAGAGTTTTATGCGGAAGCGTTTAAACCGAACACATACCTTTGCCCGGTTCAGCGATGAATATGATTCGGTATGATCTGAAAACGGACGCAGAGATCAGGGAAGAGATCACAGATGGAAATTAACCACTTATCACCATTCAAATGCCCTTCCAATTTATCTCTCCAAGCTTTTTCTCTCTAAAACGTTTTCTCTCTCCTCTGTAACTTTTTTGTTTACCAACAGTCACAAACTGTTGTAAACATAACTTTTTTTTCTTCTCTGCAATGTCTCATATATATATATACAATGAAGAGACACAATCTGAAGAGTCACAACTCTTCATTTAGTTATAAGAACCAATTTCTCATAACTGCTGGTTTAATCAAACCAGTTCGATATGCTGCCAAATCATGAGCCCAAACCGACCATAAACCAATATCTCCCACTCGCACATGATAGAGAGCATAACAAGCATTGAAGAAGTATTAGAAACTAAGCTTGAGAATCGTAAATCGGAAATCATATGGCAAATAAACCGTGCGACCCTTGCAAATACACCTGCACTTGGGAGCTAAACTATGCATCTGTTAGGGATACATACAAGCTACAACCCTAAGAAAAGTATTTGAATTTCAGCATGTCTTGCTGTTCCCCAAACTCATTTGACTTTTATATCAGCCATAACATATCTTATCCCTAAAGCATATGTTGGACCTTTTCTTACATCATGTGTTCACTATATACAAACTCCCATTGATTGATATAGTGGCTGGCCAGCAAATACATATGTCAATATAAAAGTAAATAGTTTTCCGTTCCTTTCTCATGTCTATCGTATCTGAACTAACTACTTTCCTAGCATGTTTCATAAGATTAATTATTTCATCACCGTCGAAAAAACATACTAAAGTAGCAAACATTAGCTCATCCCTTCAAAACATAGCCGAAGATTCAAGGGTAACCTTGGAACCATAAATAGGTTTATAGGAACTCACATTGCAAGAGATATGGATTATAATAATTAAAAAAAAATCATTTGCTTCCTATATGGTCGTATTAGCACATGTGGTATGACTCACATGTTATAGCGATTAACTCTTCTTTTAAGAGTATAGTCCATTGGATAAACCAAAAACCGCTATATGGATCAAGCTACCACCTACTCGCTTTCTAGCGCTTGATTATATACTTATCCAGCTATGCCAAGTATTTATGATTCTGGGACAATCATTATCGATATTTTAATAGCATATCTCATCTTAACTTCCTATTAAGGCGACATTGATAAGCATTACGAGGCAAGCTCCCACTAGCGCCAAGCTTATCACGTCTCATCTTAGCCTTTCACAAAGAAATCTAAGGCGATTGTTCATGTGAGTGAACCAATCTCTAACTTGGAGACATTTCTCACAATTTATATGTAAGTATGCAAACTAAAAGAGACCATCGTAAAATGTTTGAAATATCCTTAGATATGCATTTAATATGAAACATAAATACAATGTCAAATAGCAAAGTTCCATTAATACATACATCAAACTCTACGCAAACCTAACGCTCGAACATGTGCAAGGAAAACATCTCTAGGAATGGGCTTAGTAAATGAATCAGCGACCATCCTATGCGTAGATATGTACTTAAGGACCACTTCTTTCTTTGCCACAATGTCTCTAACGAAATTATTCTTAATTTCAATGTGTTTTGTCCTTCTATGATACTTGGGGTCCTTCTTGTAAATGATACAAGCTTGACTATCACAATGGATAGTCAGAGGGCACGAAGCCTCTCTTGTGACTTGTAAGCTCTCTAAGAACCTCCTTAGCCATACAGCCTCTTGAACTGATGCTGAACATGCAATGAACTCAGCTTTCATCGTGGATAAAGCTGTACAAGACTGCTTTTTGCTACTCCAAGTAATAGCACCATCACTGAGTAAGAAAGCATATCCTGAAGTTGACTTACGCTCATCCAGATCGCCAGCCCAATCGGCATCTGTATAACCGGTCAAGCATAAATCACTTCCTTGATAACACAAGGAATATTCCATTGTCCCCTTCAAGAATCTGAGGATCCTCTTCACTGCCATCCAATGTTTCTTCCCGGGATTTGAATGGTAACAACTTACCTAACCAACCGCATAACAAATATCCGGTCCGGTGCACATCATGGCATATATCAAAATGCCTATAGCACTAGAGTATGAGACTCTTTCCATCTCTTTTCTCTCATCATCGGTCTTAGGGCATATATTACGGCTAAGGCCTTCACCTTTTGCGATTGGGATTTCAATGTGTTTACAATCAAGCATTTTAAACCTTTCACGGATTGTTTGAATGTAAGACTCTTGTGAAAGAGCTAGTAATTTCCTTGATCGGTCTCAGTGTATCTTAGCACCAAGTATATAATCAGCTTCTCCCATGTCCTTCATCTTGAAATGAGATGATAACCATTGCTTAACGGTTAGTAGAAACTCCATATCATTTCCAGCCAATAGGATGTCGTCAATATATAGAGATAGAAATACAAAAGATTGTCCAGTGTTCTTGACATAGACACAATGGTCTTCACTAATCATCTTAAAATCATAAGATGTTATTACTTGATGAAAACAAAGGTACCATTGCCTAGAAGATTGTTTTAGGCCATATATTGAACGTCGGAGCTTAAAAACTTTGGGGTCCTGGCCTTTTAAAACAAACCCAGCAGGTTGTTGCATGTAAATATCTTCTTCTAGTTCCCCATTAAGGAGCGCAGTCTTAACGTCTATTTGATGTAATTCTAAGTCTAGTCCGGCAACTATGGCTAGAATAAGGCGAATTGAGGCAAACCTCATCACAGGTGAAAATGTTTCCTCATACTCTATACCCCTCTTGTTAGGTATATCCTTTCACTACCAAGCGAGCTTTGTACCTATCTATGGATCCATCCGCTTTACGTTTGATCTTGAACACCCATTTGTTTCCGATCGCTTGAGGTTCTGGCGGAAGATCAACCAATTCCCAGACATAGTTAACTTTCATAGATTCTAATTCTTCTCCTATTGCACCATCCCATTCAGCAGAGTTTGGGCAAGAGAGAACCTCTTGAACTGATCTAGGCTCTAGATTGTCATGTAAAACAACCATAAAAGCTTCCCCTTCAATTTCAAAACAACGTCGAGGAACTTTTCCACGGTTACTTCTACGTAACTCAGACTCTTGAGGTTCCTCACTAGAGGAATCACCAACTAATGTCTCTCTCCCACTAAGTTGTGATAATTCATGTGAACTTTCATCAACTTCCATAAATTGGTTAGTGGAAGAAACACTAGTTGTCTCAACTATCTCTTCGAGATGGAGTCTCTTATTAGTCTCTCCCCTTCTAGGAAAATCATTTTCCAAGAATGTCACATCTCATGATTGGATTTCTGTTATACTTCCATATGATTGTTCGCCGATAAGGACATAACCTTTAGAATGCTCAGATTATCTTATGAAGATACACTTCTTTCCTCTAGGACCTAAATTTCCATAAGGATTAAAAAATCGCAAACCAATGCTGCAGACCCCCAAGGTCTCAGATGCATTAGGTCAGGTTTTCTTCCCGTCCATTATTCATAAGGAGTAGTAATAACAGATT